TGGAATATCAGAGGATGCTCTCCTTTAGGTAGTAGTAATTAAGGAAGAATAGATCAAGAGATGAATTTTAACCAAAAGAAGGTTGCCAAAGTTCTCTTGAACTTATGGTTGCAAGCTACTGGAGGTATGGGGAAGACTCAAGCTCACGTTTTCACTTACTAGGGAAGCTCAAGTAAGCAAGAAGTGGACTAGAGCCCCTCATAAATTTGGGTATTTATAAGGAAATTAAAATTGCACGTGGACAAAATTTTGGCTAGGGATGACCATACAAGGTCATTTGGCCAGTTCAAAGGTGTCCAATACACAATAACTAGCTAGATTAATGAGAGAGGTTGGGATGGACTGGAGAGCGCTAATTTGAATATTCAATTTTCGTGGCTCGAGATAGCTAAAATTTTTTGCCAACCATGGTAGTTAATCACCTTTTGCTGAGCTATGGTCAAGGGTGAATAAAGAAGGATTGATACAAATGGGTTGGGTTGATTTTGATTAAGAAAAACTTAATTAGGATTTAGCCATTTAAGCTAACTCTGGTTAGCCAAATTAGGTGGCCAAAGTCAACCCAATGCATTGGCTTTCTAGAAATGCTTAGTTAGGATTTAGCCCATTTAAGCTAACACAGTTTATCCCAATTAGGTGGTCATACGGGTGAATCATGAATGGTTTGATAAACCATGGTTGATTTAAAAGACTATGGTCATTCCATGATAACCACATGTTGGAAAGAGTTTGGTTAAATTCTTGGAATGGGTTTAGAGGTTTAGGATACTATCCCTTAGGCTAGGGTTAGATCTAACCTAAGAAGTTTAGAAGAGTTTAGGCTTTTTAGCTAGGTTCTTTTGATTTTTACCATGGTCCAAGGATTGACTATGGCTTTGATTAGGTTTATAAAAGGTTTAAGTTTAGCTTAGGATATTTAGGGTTCAATTCCATGATCTAAGGTGAATAGGTTGACAAAAAATTTTAACCGATGTGATTAGCAAGAAAATATTTCTTAAGTATCATAATTCCTATGTATTAGCTCATTAAGAGCTTTAAGATACCATAATAATAAGTGCAATATACTCGGATGTTGACCATGCCATTCTAAGACTATAATCCAATTATCCTGAGTTGGAATGCCATTTCAAAGATCCTAATGAAAAAAGAAAAAAGAAATCCATATTGTAGTTTATGATCAAATAGCCATTTAGGAATATCAAAAATGGTGTGAAAAAGGCATTTGAATGTATTATCAAAGTCTAGAAAATAAAAATATCAACAAGTATTGGAGGATAATTAGGGTAGTCTTGGGTGAATAACTAACATTTCTAGAATAAACTTGATTAAAATTTCACAACATACCATATGATTACCTAGGATAACTATATCTATATAAATATAATGTTACAAGACCACATACTATTACTTATGGGGTACACTATCACGAAGAGCTATTAGCTAACTAAGCAACATCTAACGGTTACTAGTGTTAAGTAGGAAAATTCTCTAAGAAGGTTAAAAACATTTGAGCCAACCCAACACAATCAAATAGGTCAGCTTGGGAAAATAGTCTTTATAATTAAAATAAAATCAAATTTATACAAACAATAAGCTAACCAACTTAAGGTCACAAGGTTAACTTATAATAAGAAGATAGTCTATCTGAGGCAAATTAGGATGAGCTTATATTTGTTTGGATGACCTATTAAGACTTAGAGTAAGATTTTTATTTATAATATTTTATAATTTTTAAAACCAATATGGTTTGTAAAAGAATGCAACCTTAAAACATTCTTATCACTAACATGCCTCACTAAAATGGTGTAAGCAGATCATAGATTACTTTAAAATAAATGGCATGATTAATCAAAAAATTCACTTTTTTGAAATACTATTAGTATTTTAAAGAGCTTATATGACTTGTCAAGTAAATAAGGGGAATGCTTGCAATGAAAACATCATATGAATAACTGTGTATGATGACCCCTAATAGTCAAAGGTGGAATCGAATAGGTTAAAAATCATGCATTAAAGATCTATCTAAGTTATCTGAATAAAGATCAAGAAATCAAGATATCAGTTCTAGCAAGACTGTTTATGGACCAAATGTTGTATGATCCCACTAAAAGAATCACTTTTACTAAACAAGGTAACCATAAGCCCTGAGAACTCACTCATACTTTAACTGGTAGGAGAGTCAAGTAGTATGAAGAATACTTTAACTGGTGGTACAACCAAATAAAATGCATCACAAGTGCATACATGCATCAAATGAACAAAGAAGCTCATCTGATGTAAAGGATGGAGACAACACTACAATTAAGAATCATATCAATATCCCTTATAATAATCATAAACTATGATACAAGAAAATGTTGCATAAAGTATCAACCAATATAATCAAAAAGGAAACATTAAACTTTAATTTATATCTCGCAAACCTCCGTGTTGCTAGGAAGAATCCCTAGCATCCCATCCCCCTCACTGGAGATCATGTTGATAGGGCTTCTCCATGTCACTGGTTACCCTCGTTGGAACTCATAAGACATGGTTCTTGCACTTTTTGGCTAGGGCGAATTGGTCTTCTATTGGAGTTCTGCCCGATTTCTACTATGGGGGTGTTATTTTTTGTGATTTTACTGATGTCGTCTAGTTTCAAATGCTCTGATCCTGACTTCCACTTTGGTAAGTGCCGATAGAAATCCTTCAAAGATATTCCAGCTAGTTCTGTTTCTTTGGTGCATTTCCTTGATTTGAAAGTAAGTAAACTAAGGGGTTTTCCGTCATTATGTATTTCTGAGAGTGAGGTGCTTCATTTTTGCTAAACCTTTTGATTTCGCATTGGTTGGGAATTTTTCACTTCACCGTCCAGTTCTTGACATGATTAGAAAAAAATTTCAACCTCAAAACTTTTAGGTGAATTTTCTGTTACTCTACTAAATCAAAATAATGTCTTAATCAAGCTTGCTAATGACCTTGATTATGGTAGGGTTTTTGCTCATAGATCTTATTTTGTGTTAGAGTGTTTTTTGAAGTTGGTAAAATGGACCCTCTTTCTAAATTTATCGAAAGAGTGCCCCCTATTTTCCCTGTGGCTTTCTTTCCCTGAACTTCTCCCCATCTCTTCTCCTTACGCATTCTCTTCAGCTTGGGTTCTATGTTTGGTCGGTCAATTCACATGGATAATGCCACTGCCATGGGTTCTTGACCTTCTATGGTGCGTATTCCTGTGGAAATGCACATTTCTAAATCCCACCCTCATTATGTTTGGCTTGGTCATGAAATTTTGGGTTATATTTAAAAAGTTTTTTTTGAAGGTATGCCTAGTTTTTGCTCACATTGCAAAGCGGTGGGTCATAGAAACTCTAATTGTACTAAATTGCATCCCCAGTTTAGGAAGGTTGATGTCACTGTCATGCCAAATGTTGGTTCTGCCCTGATTCCTGCTGTGGATGTCAATGAGCGAGAAATTATTAATGTGGCTGAGAATTATGAAATTGGGATTGTATGTGATTTAAACTTGCAAGGTCCTATGGATATTTTTGGAACTAGGCTTGATGTTGCTCCTTATCGTGTGGGGGGAATTTTCTTGTTGTTTCTCCTGTCAATGTAGATTCTATGTCATCTCCTATGGGGGATTTGGAGAGGGACGAGGAGGTGGTGGATAATGTGGTCATTTCTTCTTTTGTTTCTATTGTTGTGGCTATCCCTATTAATTGTTCTTCTCTAGTGAATGATTTGGATGTCGTGTAGTGTGAACTTGATCAGGTGGATGGAACTTCTGGGGAATGCAATTCAGGTGAGCTGCTTATGGTGCTCAATGAACCCACTTTGATTAATAAGATTTTGGGGGAATGTGAAAATGTGTTTTTTATAGATGTCCACATCAATATTATTTATAATGATGTGTTGAGAGCTCATTTGGGTTTAAAATCAAAGGATGCCTTGGTGGAATATTCTAATTGGTTGGTGGACTGATCGACTAATTGTGGTATTGGGGAAGATATTAATGATCCAATATATAATTCTCATAATACGTATGGTTTTGAATGTGGGTTGGATCTAGGATGGGTTTAACATAGGTAGTGGAAAATGCGGCAGGCTTAAATTGGAAAATAAGGTTTTCTCTTGATTTGTTCATCTCCTTCTTTCATTGTTGGTTGATTTTTTTGATGTTGTGGAGACTCTGGACTGGCTTTCTATTGTTGTGGCTATTTTTCTGTGGGTTTATTGGATCCTATCTGCTATGGTATCTATTTGGCTCATCAAAAATTTAGGTTCAGACTATGATGAGGCAGGTTCCCATTACACCCCATGGATGGCTTGGCTTGTTCGACAACCTTGATGGATGATATGCTGCTCGGTTTTTGGTAGCCTTTTGCTCAGTTTTGGCTACTTATTTGGGTCTTCTAGCTGTTGCTTTCTTTTCCTCCAAGAATGGTCCTAGCCTGGTAATTAGGTGACGGTTTTGAGTCCAACATCCTTCAAGGATATACTTTTCATTTTATTTCCAGACTAATTTGCTTTCTCTCACTTTTTGTAGTGTTATATGCTGTGTTTTTTTTTTTCTTAATTAGGTCTCCTTTTCTCCTTGCTTTGTATGTTCCTTTTCATATTAATATCAATAATATTTTTCCAAAAAAAAAGTATCAATCAATACACATAAGATAATCACCGCATATACAAGCAAATAATGCAAGAATCCATATGATAAAATCATCATGCACGATGATGCCAACAATTATTCAATTGACAAAAATGATATGCATAAAATCGAAAGAAAGATTCGGCATGGAAAATTTAACATGAAATTTGAGGTCCTCAAGCCTCGCATGTGCGGAAATGAAAAAAATGAGTGCCACACACCATGATTGTGAATATTTTAATCTCAACACAGACACTCGAAAGCTCCATTATTTAGGACAATCCCTAAAACAGGTCTCGATGCGATGATGTTCTGACATTTGTCCATGCCATTTAATTGGGGCTAGTATTCATGATGTGATTCAAGGTATATATAAATCAAAGGGCACTCAAATAAAACTAATTTGCAAACACAATATAAAAATAATACACCGTGTTATTTCCAGTTCTATAACAAGAACCCTGCATTATTTTAAACATATAAGCTGTGATGTTTTAAAATTGATGATTTACAAAAATAGCATGACAAGCAGCAAAGCTTCTAAGTAATATGAACATCTAGTGGAACCAAGTCGAGCTTTTCTCTTCTCGTAGTAGTTAATCCCATACTATCATCCATGATTATGCTCTCGCAAGAAATGCCACTCGGTAGTTTCCAATCGAAGCGAAAAAAGAGATTAGCTAAGGCAAGCTCAACGATGGAAATTGCAAACAGTATTCCAGGGCAAATTCTACGACCAGCACCAAAAGGTATGTAGTGAAAATCATTACCTTTATAATCCACATCACCACTTAAGAATCTCTCCGGCTTAAACTCATGTGGTTCCTTCCAATAAACTTCATCTCTTCCGATTGCCCAGGCATTGATGAGGACTCTTGTCTCCTTAGGGATATTATATTCCAGTATTTGACAATCTTGCAATGACTCTCGAGGGAGAAGTAATGGAATTGGAGGATGCAAACGAAGAACTTCCTTTATGACAGCCTTCAAGTAGCTCAGCTTACCCAAGTGTTCCTCTCTGACTCTTTCCTCTCCATGAGCTATGCCTCTCACTTCATCCTGAACCTTTTTCATCACTAGTGGATTTCGAATGAGTTCAACCATGCTCCAATCCAGGACTGCGAAGGACGTGTCTGTTCCTGCAGCAATCATATCCTTTCGAAGCACGAAAGGTTTGCACTACGTCAGTTGTCATAAGATGCAAGCAATAATTGCTTGTAAATCTTCAATAATGCAAGTGGAATTCTTTTCCCAGGACCGATGGTCAGAAATAGTGTTAACTCACTAAATTTCTTACTCGAGTACTGTAATAAAAGCATCCATTTGAAAAGCTGCAATAATCAATTGCCATGCAGAAAAATGCCCTGAATTTTTAACGGTAGTGGTTGCCTTATAAAAAAGTGTAAGTTCAGAATAAATACCAATAAGATTGCCTTAATCTGTTCATTTGTGAGAACAAACGCCGTGCCTGTATCATTCTTTAGCTGAAGCATCACATCAATGAAATCAGAACTGCTCGTGTTCTCTCCTTCCTTCAATCGACGAACATGTTCCTCAATAAACTCCCCGAGAAGAGAATCCCATTTCTGAGAGTGTTTTCTAAGCTTGCCTTCCGATCCAAAGAGCACATCCAGCCATCTCAACCGGGGGAAGTAGTCCTCGAAAAATAATTGAACAAACAAGACAGTGTTCTTTCGAATAAGCCCGCAAAGAAGCTTCCTCCTCTCTTCAGTCATCGATGATCCCAAAACAGAATTGCACAGGACGCCACAAGTCAATGAATTCAAGATCTCAGTCATGCAAACAACTCCATTACTAGTGGAAGCTATGCGAGCAATTTTTTCGATCATTAATGATACCTCCTCCAGACGAACGTGACTGAAGAACTGCACTTGTTTTAAGCAAAGGAGGTTGGTGACACAGATCTTCCTGATCTGCCTCCAATAGTCTCCGTAGGAAGCAAAGGCAATATCACTGTTATTGTAGAGCAAAATCCTTGATGCCTTAAGTGAAGGCCGACTTGCAAAGACGAGATCGTGAGTTCTCATGATCTCTCGAGCAGAAGAAGGCGATGAGACAACCAGAGTGGGAATTGAGCCAAGCTGTAGAAGCATGAGGGGTCCATGCTTCTTTGAAAGCTCGAAGAGGGACCTATGGGGTAACGAGCTGAGTTGATGCAAATTACCTATGAAAGGAAACCTTGGTGGTGAAGGAAGTAGATGTATCTTCCTTGAGATGGACTTCAATTTAATTCTTTTTACCAGTAGGAAGAACGGAGGAAGCAGCAGAAGAACAACAAGCAGAGTTGGAACCATTAGGAGATTTTTTTTTTTTTTTTGTGTACTACTCTCCTTACCTCTTGACTTGTGTTTGAGAAAAATAGGTTACACTCTCTTATGTGAAAGCCAAAGGGCACAAATAGCGAAGGAGAAACATTCTATTATCCAAGGTTTTGAAGCTGGGATCAGACAACGAACCGATAAAACAAGCCGTTCAACCAGTCGAATCGAGTTCAAATGGGATAACGTAATAAATAATAATATTATAAAAATTAATAAAATTAACATGATAATAATGTCAATATAATCTTAAAATTTTCACCATTTCTAAGAATTTTGAGATTAAAAATAAATAAAATTCATACATATATAATATATTACATAACTTTAAAATTAAATATAACTAATTATTATTTTTATATGATATATTTAAATATAAATAATTACTAATTTTAAATTTTAATATAAATACATTCAATCTTTGATTTTAATTTATATTTAATAAAAATTTAGTTCATATGTTTGTTGAAATTAGAAACTACTAGTTGTTTAGTCTCACATCACTTATGGGTTTTCGGTTGTGTTGTTTATATACCATTTCTTGTAGCAAAAGTTTAAAAGTCCACATGGGGTGAAGGAATCATGTGAGTATGATTATTTAAAATTTAATATATAATATCATAAAATTTTTTTGATATATATCCTTAAAATTTTTTTGATATTTTATCACATTTTAATTAATTTAATATATTAAATAAATTATTTTATATTAAACTAATTGAACCGGATGGTTTTTAAGAAGCTGGCCGGTTCAACATTTTAGCGGTTGAACCGGCGGTTCAAATTGGTTTCTACCGGTTTGATGCTAGCCTGATTTTCGAAGAGGACCGAACTAGTTTTTGGACCAGTTCACGATTGAATCGGTCGAACCGGCCGGTCCGGTCCGATTTTCAAAACTATGCTATTATCACTATTTTTTTTGGGGAAATTAGAGGCGGATCTTAAATACACATAATATATATACGAGACTTGAATTGAGAATATTTTCCTTGAGAGTCAAACTCCTAATCAACAAATAAAAAAGCTATGTATCATTATTATTATTATTATTAACTGGATCACTAAAACAATATGACTCACTCTGATTGCGTGTATAAGGCAATGCATGTTTTAAACAAAATTCCTGTGTAGTGGCCCCGTTTTACCAGTTGGTGGTGAATATGTAAAGCTAATGCTATACATGATGTTCTTCGTTGATTTGTCTAATCAATTCTAAAGCTATAACTATTTTTTTCCAAATTTTATAGGCACTAAATGTTATGAATTCAACCCTTTTCTTATCACAATAGAGACTTTGTTGATTATTATGTAGTTTTTTTATAATTTTTCTTGTCATGTAGTTGGGACGTGTCATATATTTAACAAAAGTTTAGAAAAAATATGTATACTTTGAATAATGCCATATCCTTTTTTTTTACTAAATTCATTTGTCAAAATAATTTCTGTAGCATATGACATAAAGTTGACACTAAAATGACGGGTCATTATAACATATTCACACAAAGTCATGGGAACTAGAAACAATTAAATAAAAAAAGTTAAAAGATAAACAATCTACAATAAAAAAAATCATAGGTGAGAATGGAGTGATAAAACAGGAATTACAATGATGGCACTCAAAAAATCAAGTAACATTGATGAAATAAGAAGCAAATTACCATATGATGTTTACAATGATCGAGTAACTTTAGAGACTAGACATGCACCTTCATGCATATTAAGATTGGGGAACCTTGGATGGCTTTCCATAGTAAAACATCAACAACATAGGGAATTTTTGTAGTCCTCTCTTATTTGACATGTGACATCATCACTTCATTATCTTGAGGACGGAAAGAAAAATTTGTTATAGATCACCCTCCTTAATAGGCAAATTTTGTCTGCACCATGAGGCCAACAACCCTTCGTTCTTGAGTCATGGCAGACAAGCATGTAGGAACTTTACACGTTTTCTATTCTAATTTGGAGCAAATGAAATAAATAAAGGGTGAGGAAATAATTAATTGTGTAAACTGATTCGCTTTATTTATCTAAAACCAAATTTGTATAGTTATAACATATCATCTCAAAAGATAGATTGATGCTTGACTATGGATTTAATAATAGAAATAAACTTTATTTTTATAATCAAAATCAATATACATAATAGATAATTCATCCCGAAAGATAAAATGATATTCAATATAATTTTTAAAAAGAAATTAACAATGGATAAAACTTTTGTTTATGTTCAGAAATATTTCTTCTACTGTAGCGAAATAAAGAAGGGGTTTTTTTGTTTTACTGGGCTCAAGGTCTCTTGTAGATGAGTCTTTATAGTTAATTACATTCCAAGACAATTCTTAATTTAATCAAGGAATTAAATTTAGACCTACCTATAAATTGAAAAAGTTCAATGCCTTCACACATCTTTATTAGTAAGTGGAAGAAGGATAAAGAGAGGTTTTAGATTATAGAAAAAGAAACACTCTAACCAATTATTTTGCTGGTATTAAAAAAGTTAGAACAAGATTAAATTTAGATTTTTGTTGATAATTTATTAGATTATTAGATAACGCTCCCTGGGGAGAAGCAGTTGAACTTTATGTAAATTCAGACTTACATTTGCTTGTAGTGAAAAACAAACGAACCACCTAAGCACACTTTTAAAACCATACTTATAAGCCTTTTGCATACAAGATAGATAATTCTTGTTCAACTAGAATCAAAGATTTATGTTTAGACTTTAATCAAGATTTTAGAAGTTTTCATGCACCTAATTAATGCATTTTAAAAAAATTCACTTAGACTATAGTTCCTCTACAATGCATTTAATGTAGTCTATGCTACACAACAATTGTATTATACATGGGTGATTTTCTAAGAAAACTAGCAACATAAAATCTTTAAACCCAAAGGGGATAGAAGGGTCATCCCTATTGCTTAAACAGCCCTTGCTTGCCATTGGTTATGTGTTGGGTTTGTGTACAACACGAGAAAATAAATATAAGTGCATGTATGAATGTATAGGTAAAGGAGTTCGAGTCTTCAGTACTATTAAAAATAAATTTTGTACTATTGAAAGTCTTAAAATTTAGTGATAATTTGTTATTTTAGTAAAAAGTTCCTCTTCATTATTGGGATGAAGTTAATATTATAAAAATTGTTTCGAGAATAGGAACCCCATTGTTATTAGATGACAACATGTTTAAATGGGGTAGAAGGGAATTTGCTAGAGCATGTGTTTGAATCAACTTGAATACAAAGCTTCCTTGTGGAATTTGGATTGAAGGACTGCGTGGAAAATTTTTTCAAAAAAATTGAATATGAGAATATATCTAATGTTTTATGCTTCAAGTGTGGAAGGATTGTACATAAAACTTCTATCTGTCCTAATGTCACACTTGTATTTCTATCAAGGAAACTCCTAAGAAATTAGTTCATAAATCTGATAATATTTATGAGACTTCCTATGGTCCATGGATGCAAGTTAAATTCAGGAATAAGAAGAGAAGACAAGTTTTTTTTTTTCTTTTTTCAAAATAAATTAGATGGTGGTATGCAGGAATCTGATTCTCAAAACCTTATGGATAACTTTGTTGCTGATGAAGGCAAGGTTAATGAGAAGGATACTATTTTGCTTGACAATATGTCCAATGAAATTGGGGATAAATTTGATGCCTTATGATAAGATTGTAGCATATTTGGGAAAAAACAATAAGTTTAATGTGCTATCTCATGAGAAAGATGTAAGTGAAGCTATTGTCAATATAGTTGATTTCAATAATTTAGTTGAAGTTATTGTCAATGAAGATTCAAATGAAAGTACTAATGGATTTAATCAGGAGGGAGAATCAGATGTTGATCCCGAAGCTGCTCAAATTTTTTCATCAGATGAATATGATATCAAGTTGGAAAATAGCGTGAATGAAAATTTTTTGAAGAAGATTGAGGATTCGTCATGAAGGCAAATGTCTATTGTTGTTATTGGCAAAGATGTTGCTGAACCAAAGGATACTTTCAACAATGATGAAGGATTATGTAGAGATGATCCTATTATTGAACCAGAAGATAATGTTACTATTGTAAGGAATTCAGGTAGGGAATTGATGGTAAAATCAGATTTCCTTTTGGACATTGAGGCTACTCCAAATAATTCTATTAATTTGAATTTAAAAAAGGCGAAGAAGTTAAAGAATATAGTTTCCAATTCCGTTGGTAATGAGATTGGTAACTCTTCCAACTCTAAACATAAATTGCTTAAAGAACTTCAATCATTAGGTATGTTGGAAGATCTACCCAGAAGAAGAAATGTTGAATTCAAGTTGAAAAATTGTAATGGGGACATTTCCCCTTCAGTTCAGTAACATGTTATTGTTAAAAGATTGGGATGGTGATGAAGGCCAAATAAAGGTTTTTGTTTATCTTTATAATGGCATTAATCAAGGAGGCTTCATTTTGGTAGTTGGTGTAAGTTCAAGATCTTATAAAGTTGATAAGATCTTGTTTCTTCCATTGGCAGTAGGATTGCATATTGTTTGGATATCTTGGTTCTCAAAGGTTGCATCATTGAACTTCTTCAAATTTGTTCATTCTTGTAAGAGAAAAGTAGCGGTTGGGCTACTTGGCATTAATGTTTCTTATTTTTTATTTTATTTGCATAATTAGATTAGAGTTATGGAGTTTAGGATTCTTACTATTTTTCATTTTACTCCTTTTTTGGCCTATTGGGATACTAACCAACCTTTCGGGTTATTTTATATTTGGTGTCCCCATCACCCCAATTGGCTTAAAATGAGTAGTGGATCTTATCTTTGTTATGATATTCATTTTTTTTTGCAAATATTTTTTTCTTATGTTTTTGCTTTTCAATAATTGTTACCTACCCTTTATCTGTATGGAAACATCCTTAGTTGTTTTTAATTTATGCTTGTACTTTTTTTTTCTCTTCAATGCAATTTGCGTTCTTTCAAAAAATATTTTTTTTCTTATTTTAGTTATATTTATGCAAAAAAGATAAGAAAAAGGCAAAAAAATTTGTAAGTATTGAACCATCATCAAGGTGGTCAATTACCGGTGCCGCAATGTCTACATCCCCTTAAAGCCAAATCAAGGAATTGTAGCGCT